TGAAAGTGCTACATTTGGTGACTTTTCAAAAATACTTTCATTTTCCAGGCTTGGTTCTTGGCCCCCTTCTGAGCCTCTGCATTACTTGTGCTTATCTCTGGCTTTGCACTTTAAACATTTACATTCTAATTATTACTCTCTTTTCCTTCTGCTAGATTGTGAATTCCTTCAGGGATATGATATAGTTTTTGCAGTGCGTGGCCTATAGGCGGGGTTCCAATATGTATTGTATAAATAAACTGATAAACTAATTTAGACATCTCACTGCAGTCCTTTGGGTGGAGTTCTGCAAATATTTTAAAAACTTGTAGGCATTCTGAACACAGTCTTAAGTCCATCGAAGAATTTGCATTATATTTGAGACAAAATTGGTAGACTTAAAAAATATTTTGCTGTAAAGATTATTATTCTTTGAGCATGGTGGCACGTACCTGTAATCCTAGCACTCAGGAGGCTGAGTTAGGAGGACCCAGAGTCAAAGCCAGCCTCCGCAATTTAGCAAGTTCAAGGCCAGCCTGAACTATGCAGAGACGGTTGTCTCAAAGAAGGAAAAAAAAATACCCTGGGTTGCCTCTTAATCCAAGGAGTTACATCAGAGGGTGTTTCCTGGTGCTTTGTGAAAATGTTTACTGATGAAAATCTAGAGCTCACACTGACTTTGAGTGAGAACTAATAATTCCAGCAATGCTTTGTTTAGTCTTTATGTTGGATAAAGAGAAGGAGATGTTTCTAAACATCTGGACTGAAGTATGGTCACTAATTTATAAGATCTTAATTTAAATAAGGAATGTTTTTGTTGTAAAAATGATGTGTATTGAAAAAGTGAAGACAATATATAAAAGTATATGAATAAGAAAGGAGTAAGGAAAAATCCCAAATCTTGCTTTTCAATAGTCCAAACATGTTGAAAACTTCAAAACATCATATATTTATATGATAGCAACACATTTTTTGATTATATATGGGGTCATATTTCTATTTTTTCAATCAGCAGCGTGGTATGAACGTCTTTGCATGTATGCCCCAGACTGTAAATGCCTGTATAACATTCTATTCTGTATACACACCGAGATTGTTAAAAATTCCATTTTCAGAATGATAGACGTTTAGGGTGTGTTCATTTTTTTCTCACCTTAACACTTTCCACTAATTCTTTCTGTGGATATTTTGCATACATAAATGACTATCTCCACATAGATGTTTTAGAAGTGGGATTTCTAGGCTATAGAGAATGGTTCCTTTATTTGATTTATTTGTATATTCTTTGGATTTTTTATTTTAAAAATACGATAGTCTGGATTCTGATTATAACTTTTTATTTTTTAATCAGTTTCACGCCAGTGCTGGGCATTGGGTGAATCTCGACAAACATAGTACAAAGTACTTCCCTGTTCTTGAAAGTGCTACATTTGGTGACTTTTCAAAAATACTTTCATTTTCCAGGCTTGGTTCTTGGCCCCCTTCTGAGCCTCTGCATTACTTGTGCTTATGTCTGGCTTTGTACTTTAGACATTCACATTCTACACAGTGTCTCACTATGTAGTTCGGCCTGGTTAGTGGAGCAAAAACAGGCAAAGGGGCATGAAGTGACAGTTTGGTAACTTTGAACCTTTTGAACCTTTGGATGGGAGGATGCCATAAACCTGGATGTTGTGGATGCTGTGGGAAGTTCCAGGGTTCTTTCTTTGGAGCCATAGTAGTCATTCTTATCAGGAGCAGAGCAGAGGTCAGCCTTGAAGGAAAACATCATAGTGGAACAGGATGATGCCACAGGACTCTGTTTGCTGGAGTGTGGTTGTTAACCTTGTGTGTAATCTCGCAGAGGCACTTCCTTTCAGGGAGGGGAGCTGGGGAGAATTGCTCAAGCTTGGTTTCCTTCTGAGTTCTGCTGTAGTTCAGGTTGGCCTTGATTCACTGTGTAGCCCAGGCTGGCCTCAGACGTGGGGCGATCCTCCTGCTTCAGCCTTGAAAGTGCTGGGTTTCGAGGTGTACACTACCAACTGTGGCTGAATTTTGTCCATTTTAAAAAACCTTACAAAAAATCAAGTTTTCTTTACAATTCTTAATTACCAGTGAAGTTCCATGTCCTATTTATTTTGAGGTACTGGGGACTGAACCCAGGGTATTCACACTGCTATATCCCCAGCTCATTTTTTTATTTTGAGATAGAGACTCACTAAATTATTAGGTTGCCCAGGCTGGGCACAACCTTGCTGCCCTCCTGCCTCAGCCTCCCAGAGTTCTGGGTGTACGGGCATGTGCCACCATGCCCAGCTTACACATCCTTTCATATGTTTGTTGTCCTGACAAATATTCTGATGTTTTACCTGTAGCTCATGGTTGATAGCTCAGAGAGAAGAAACTTGGAGAGAGGATGGATGCAAAAGCCCGAAACTGTTTGCTTCAACATAGAGAAGCTCTGGAAAAGGACATCAAAACATCCTACATCATGGATCACATGATCAGTGATGGAGTTTTAACAATATCAGAGGAGGAAAGGGTAAAAAATCAGGTAACACCCTTTCAGACAGTCTGTACTTTTTTCTTAAAATTTCAGAAGCGGCACAGATCTTCATTAGTTTATGTTGTGAACATATTTATCGATATGTACTAAATTGCTTAATTTTTTTTTTAGCCCAGTAATCATCAGCGAGCAGCTACACTAATTAAAATGATACTTAAGAAAGATAATTATTCCTACATATCGTTCTACAATGCTCTACTGCACGAGGGATATAAAGATCTTGCTGCCCTTCTTCATAGTGGCATGCCTGTGCTTTCGTCCTCCAGTGGCAAAGATTCAGCGGATGGCATAACTTCATACGGTTTGTATCCCGATACCTCCTGCTGCATTGCTGTCATGACGCCTTCCTTACTCCGATATGTCTGACTGTAGAGGTGATATTCTGAAGAGTATGACAAGTTCTCTGGAAAAATGCATATGAAACGATTACAGTAGTGATCTCAATTTAAGTATTTCTTACATACATCCACGTTAACACAGTTTCTCCTCGCCCTGAGAACCATTTACTGCTGTGAAAATAACATGTGCCTTAATTTATAGAGAGAATAAGACTGTAGCGTATTTTAGAATTTATAGGAAAGAATAAAAATATGTAGAAATTTGTGTACTTGAAAGAAATTCCATAAACATTCTTCTCTATACATTCACCTTTGCTGACTTCCTTTTTAAAAAAAAAAGTTGAGTGCTGGGGAGTGAACCCCGAGTTCAGACCCAGGGCACAGTGGTCCTTCTGCTCCTGAGCTGTGCTGTGTCCCTTTCCCAGTCTTCAGCAGAGACGGGTGGCCGGAGAGTCAGGGAGGAGTAAGGCGTGAGGCAGGCACAGGTGGAGACTTGCACGGTTTTGAAGAGTGTTTGTTTGCTTTTGTCTTCTGTGTCTCAAGAAGTGAGAAAGTTTTAAGTTAATGTGCTAACCACATTTTCGTATTTCTCTTGGAAATTCTGACGCGAAGATCTCACTTGCACCTTCCTTGTTTCTCTTTTTCTTTTTTGTGTTAAGTGGCCATCTCAGGGTTTCGTTCATTCATGCTTGTTTTGGATTTCAGTGAGGACAGTGCTGTGCGAAGGTGGAGTACCGCAAAGGCCGGTTGTCTTTGTTACCAGGAAGAAGCTGGTGAACGCAATCCAGCAGAAGCTCTTGAAGCTGAACGGTGAACCAGGGTGGGTCAGCATCTACGGCATGGCCGGCTGCGGGAAGTCGGTGTTGGCTGCAGAAGCAGTTCGAGATCATTCCCTCTTAGAAGGTAAGGGTTTTTTTTTTTTTTTGTATTATATCAAGTTAATTACAAACACAGATTAAAAGCCAGAGTAACGGACCCAAAAACGTCAAACACAAAACAACTGTACTAAGTCAAGGTACATTTTTAGATAGATTGGCTGTGCTAGGTTACAAGAACTTTTTTCTTTCCCCTTGTCTTTTTTTTTTTTTGCAGTTTATATATTGGGTTTCTCACATGAGAGAAACCATGAGGTATTTAAGCTTGTGTGTCAGATTTATGTCACTTCATATGGTCTCAAGGTATGTTCATCTTCCTACAAATGACTTAAGTTCATCCTCTTTATGGCAGAGTAGTACTCTGTTGTGTATAAGTAATACATTTTCTGTATCCTTTTAACTGTTAATTGACACATAGGCTGCATCTAGGATTTAGCTCTTATGAATTGTGCTGCTATAAACACAGATACGCATGTATCACTGTAATATGATGTCTAACTCTTTCAGGAAGCTACTTAGAAGGGGAATAGTTGGGTCAAATGGAGTGTGTATTTTTAGTTTTTGAGGGCTCTCCATACTGGTTTCCACAATGGCTGTATCAGTTTGTTGTCCTACCAAGAATGTAGAAAGGTTCCTTTTCCGCCCCTGTAGCCTTGCCAGCATGTTACTGATTTCTTGATGGACATTGTTTCTGGAGTGAGATGGAATCTCAGTGTCATTTTGATTTGCATTTCTCTTTTAAGTGTTGAACATTGTTTCATGCATTTGTTGGCCATTTGTACTTCTATGAGAAGTGTCGATTCATTTCAGTTGCCCAGTTTTTGATTGGATTTTTTTATGGGAGGTTCTCATTTTTTTGAGTTCTTTATTTATTCTGTCCAAGGAGTAGCTGTTAACATTTTTTTTCCCATTCCCTAGGTTGTCTCATTTTGTTGGCTTTTCCTTCTGCTATGCAGAAGCTTTTTAATTGTTGCTTCTCAGTTGGTATTATTTCTTGTGTTACTGCGATTCTGTTCAGAATATCCTTGCCTATGCCTATGCCTATGCCTTCAAGAGTTTTACCTCTGTTATCTTCCAGCAGATTGTTTCTATTTTAATACCTAAATCTCCAATCTATATTGATTTTAGTTTAGTGCATGGGGAGCGAGGCTCTGTGTATCCTGGTTCAGTCCTTGCCTGTGGAGAGCCAGTTTTCCAGAACCATTTGTTAAAGATGCTGTCTTTTTTCCATTGAAAATGTTTGGCCCCTTTGTCAAAGATAATGTAGCTGAGAGTGCCTGGAGTTGTTTCTACATCCTCTGTTCTGTTTCATTGATCCGCAAGCCTGTTTTTTTCTCCCCAGTACTATACTGTTTTTGTCACAGTAGCTTTGTAGTGTAACTACAAGTTTGAGATTGTGATGCCCCCTGCCTTACCCTTGTTGCCCAGAATTGCTTTTGCTATTTTAGGTCTCTTCTGGTTCTGTATGAATTTTAGGATTGCTTTCTCTAGTTCTGTGAGGAATGCTGCTGGTACTTTGATTGGAATTGTGTTAAATCTGTGTAATAGTTTTGTAAATGGGGGACATCTTTCCATTTTCTGATGTCCTGTTTGATCTCCTCTTCTCTCTCTCTCTCCTCTCCTCCCCCAGTATGTAGTTTAGGCTGGCCTTGAAGTCACTCCTTCCTCAGCCTCCAAAGGACCGGGATTACGGGCATGTGCCACCATGTGTGGCTCAATTAGTTTTTTCAGAGCATTGTAGTTTTCATTGTAGAGACCTTTCACTTCCCTCATTAATTCCTAGGTATTTCATTTTTCTTGATGCTATTGTGGAAGGTGTTTTTTCTCTGATTTCTCTCTTGGTGAGATTATTCTTGTATCCAGGAATGCTATTGATTTTTAAGTGTTGACTTTGTATCCTGCTACACTACCGAATTGGGTTATTCTAGGAGTCTTTTGGTGGAGTTTTTTGGGTCTTCTATGTAGAGGATCATGTCACTTGCAAGTAATGAAAATAATGTAACTTCATCCTTTCCTATTCATGTCCTTTTTATTTCTTTCTCTCGCCTAATGCTCTAGCTGATGTTTCTAGAACCATATTGAACAGGAATGGTGATAGTGGACATAGAGCCTAAGTGTTGACCGCTACGCACTGCTGGCTCAGGAGATAATTCTTTAAGCATTGCATAAGTTTCCTGTTGTTGCTGGTAATAAATTACCACAAATTCAGTGGCTTAAAATAACACATTTATTATCTTTCAGTTTTGGAGATTTTTACTTGGCTGAAATCATAGTATCAGCAGCTCTGAATTCCTTCAGGAAGCTCTCAGGAGAATTCTTTCCCTTGAATTTCCTACCTTTTTTGTGTTTTGTTTTTTAAAATTTCCTACCTTTCTGAGGAAGCTTGCGTTCCTCAACTCCTCGTCCCTTCTCAAACCTGGCTGTGTATGTTCGCCCTGCCCCCCACTTCTCTCTGGCCTTTGCTTCTGTCTCACATTTCCTTTTCTGACTTAACCTTTTTTACCTCTCTCCAGAGCCCTTGTGATTACTTTGGGCTCACTTTGTAAGCCGGGATAATCTCAAAATTTTTAATTTGGTCAAACTAACCAAGTCTCTTTTGCCAAAAAAGGTAACATAAATGGACGTCTTTTGGAGCCTTTATTATTCTGCTCATGATTAAACTTGGAATATATGTTCTTCTTTGCCTGTCAAGTGAGGCTTGGTTAGCTAGGACAATTAAATTCACAAAGGTATCAGAGGACACTAAATATTAGTGGAATGAAGCTGATTCCCTTGCATCTGAACAGTTGAGAAGACTGAAAAAGATTTTGAAGGCTGTCCAGATTTATACTACCGCCTTCAGGCGGGACTAGGCTTATACCTTCCTGTCAGCGTCTGTTTTGGCATAGAGTGCAGACGGGAAAGAGTTTCTTAGAAACTCAGTTCTATTAATGACTCTCCTGTTGGGACATTCTGCTGTGTATTTGGCATCCTATATTACTTTAAACTAGATAGGTAATTCGATTTCTAGAATTAATTCTACTAGTTGCTTATCTTTGAAAGTAAACTCGCCATGTGTGTAAGCCCCATGAAGAAAACCTGGGAGTTGAATATAGCAACTGATGGGTTTTTGCATGTAGGCCCTGTCGACCCCTTTGACATCCGGTGACTGACTTTTCATGATTCAGGTGTTTTTACATTCAGTAAATGTTTGAGATGTATATGTAGGGTGGTGGTTGATATAAATTAAATACTAGGTTTTTAATTATTTATGCCTGTACATTTAAAATAACTTAATTTTGTTTTGAAAGTTTCATCCTTTATTTTTTATTTGTAGGTAAATTGTTGACATATTTTTAAGTCATTTACACTACTCTATATGCTGAGGTTTTTCAAATGTTTTGAGACAGGGTCTCACTGTGTAGTTCAGGTTGGCCTTGAATTCACTGTGTAGCCCTCCTGAGTATTTGGATTACAGGTGTGTGCTGTGTCACGTGGGTATATGCTGAGGGTTTTTTTGTTTTGTTTTGTTTTGTTTTTTTGGTTTTTCTCCGGTACCGGGAACCGAACTCACGACCTTGCGCTTGCCAGGCAGGCGCTTTGCCACTGAGCTAAATCCCCAGCCCCCTATGCTGAGTTTTTAGATCATGGATGCTTTCTTCATAGGATGCCTACATATTGTTTCTGTCCTTCCCAGGATTCTTTGATGCTATTAGATTATTATTTGTTACAACTTTAAACTTCATGTAGAAGTGGGACTGGATTTGTTTTATCTGAATAAAGGCAATTTTTCTGAGTATAGTTCTCGGAATGAACTGTTAAGTACAAGCCTCATTCAAGGCTAAATTGCTCCCTCTTGTGCTCAGACTTGAGATTTTTGGATTCTTTCTGAAATGTGGAAATAATAGTGCAGTATGTAACTAGCTGTTATATTGTAAAGGTAGGAGGTTTGCAATTTAGTTTGTTACTTGACTTGTGTGCCTTTCTTTCAGAAGCCAGTAGGGGTTTTTTTTGCATGTATTTATAGTGCCCTAACTTTTTAGTTTTAAAGTTAGGGAAAACTCTTTAACCTACATATTGAGTACTTAACACGGGGGGTCATTTTTAAAGTAGCTGCATCAGGATATTTTCTTTGCTTTGTCTTTAATCCCAGAATGATTAAAAAAATTTTTTTTAAACTACAGAGCATAACTTTTAATTATAAATATTTATTTGCTTAAATATTACAAAAGTAGTGTTTTCATATAAAAGAAGTAAAAGTTCTTTTTTGGGGGGTACTGGGAGAAGTAAAGGTTCTTTTCTCTTGCCATTCTCCCCCTTTTTCATGAATTGTAAATCTTCCCCTGAAGATAATCTTGATTGACAGTTTGAAGTTCTAAGCATTCCCTCTGCATTTGTATACTCCCGCTATAACATTAAATGAAGCTGTAAGAATTTACTGTTTAATAATTTGAGGCTTAGAAACTTATGGAAGCTTTTTTTGAGACAAGGTCTCGCTGTGTAGTCCAGACCAGCCTGGAACTCACTGTATAGCCCAGGTTGGCCTTGACTTCTCGATCCTCCTGCCTCAGCCTTCTGAGTGCTAGGATTACAGGTATGTGCCACCATGCCTGGCTAGGACTTCTTGTCTACCTTCTTCTAAAGCACTGGAACTGATCATCAATTCAGTCTTCAAGGCCCTGTCTTACTTCCATTACTGCAGGGTTCTGTCTCCTGGTCATGTTATCTTTTAGATTCTCATGCCATCACAATTCAGTACATTACCAAATTTTGATCTAGGTCTCTTCTGCTACCGCTGTGTCTTTCTTTATCCCTTATAGAGTTCTTCCTTTGTGGTCAGAGACCTTCTCCATATTATCAGCATGTTCCGACTGTTCACTTACTTATCTGATCCTTCAGCGATCTGGCAACCTTTTCCCATTTATATCCCATGTACTGAGGTATCAGGAGGTGGGCGGATGTTGGCTTTACTCTCATTGCCTCGTCTTGACCACTACTGCTCCCTTCTTCTCCGTCTCAATTCTTGGAGGTGTTGCAGTTGTCCTTTCATTTATTGCCTTTCATTTATTTATTGTCCTTTCATTTATTTCATTTATTGTCCTTTTCATTTATTGGAGCTCTGACGCTGTAACCTTCCTCGGAAGCCCTTCTGTTGGCACCCTTACTGATTTATATATCTACGTGGATGAATCATCTAGAATTTTGCTATCTCTATTTCTTGACCTCCTTGTCTCTTGTGTCCATTTTTTTTTTTTTTGTTTTTAGCCACGTGCTAACCCAATCCCCAACTGGACCCCAGTCCTTTTCATCACTAGAACTATAGCCCTTTAAAACGCTTGATGTTAAACGTGGTTTACCCTTTGCCCACACGCACCTGTTTCCTCCTTCAAGTTCACTATTCCAGTTCCCAGACTTGTCAGGGCTTCTCATTCATTGATTCCGCAATACTCTTATTACTTAATCCATCAGTTCTCTTTTACACTTGGGCCTTGCTTTTATCATCCTTCCTTCCATCACTCCATAGCACAGACTCTTAGCCCTGTAGTCCCTCTCTTGGGTGAAGACTGATTCCTCCTTGTCTGTACTAGAAGACAGAATAGATACTTATTTTTGTTCCTATTGCTTCATCCAGACATTACTTACTTGCTCTTTTCTGTAAAAACTCACCCAAATGAGTTTAAATTCATGATCAGAAACCTTGGTAATTTTACTAGGTTTATGGAGTGGGTAGAACTGCTGCTTTAAGGTTTGTAGGGTCCAGTGAGAAACAGCTTTGTTTGTTGCTCATGTTGCCTTTTCAGAACTCTTCTTCTGGGTCTTGTACAGTTCAGAGTCTCAGGCTGCTTCAAACTATGAGCAGTCTCATCTCAGAAACTACAGTTTAGTCCTACTTAAAACAGACATCATTTGCATACCAGGTTCTTTGCTTCTTGGGCTGCGCCTGTCTTGTTCTTGGGAAGCCTGCAGTGGGGAGCGGTGAAGATGGACACTGAGGTGCTTTCCAGCTGTTTCTTGCGGCAAACAGTGCTGCAGTGATAGCTTCGTGAAGCAAGAGTGTGTACAGGTTGAGCACTGATGCTAGAGGCTTGGATCTCAGCTCAGCTTTATTAAATGTGTAACCTTGGAGAAGTTATTCAGCCTTCCTATACCTCAGTTTCTCTATCTGCAAAAATGGGAATCATAATAGTATCTGCTTGACAGGATGTTATGAGAATTGAATGAACATAAGCAGAAGTCTTAAATAGATTTTTGTACATATATACAATATTTCTCTCAGGTGTTTAAGTTTTTATTTATTTATTTATTTTGTACCAGGAATTGAATTCAGTACCTTGCACTTGCCAGGCAGGTGCTTGTGCCACTGAGCTACATTCCTGGCCCTAGTTTTTAATATAGTGATTTCTTTTTGTATTTAATAATTTGTGACTATCATTAGATAAAGTGCCTTTAGGTGTAGTTTTTTTAGTCAGATTTTATTGGTACATTTTAGGTGTACATATTGATCATATTCATCATAGAGAATTTGTACCTGTGCATGATATAACTTGATTCTTTTTTTTTCTCCTCTCCCTTCAACCCCTCCTCTCTTCCCCATTTACAAAGGCTCTGTTTCCATTTTTTCCTTCTTTTCTCACTGGTGTAGTTTAATACATTTGTGTTTGTATCTGCATTTTAATTTTTCATTTACTTGTAAGACCATGTAATAGAAATACTTACTGTTAATGTCACTGATCTGTGATCTGATGCTACAGTTCATATTTTGCACGTAGGAAGCCTTCTCTTATATATATGTGTATGTGTTGGCATATGTATATTTTTTCTTAAATTATGTGGAGCTGATTAAGTATAGTTTACAAAAATTTTAGTGTTGGCTCCTGATACATATATAAATAAACATAATGTGTTTCAAGATGTGTTGTGGTTTGATTAACACATTCACAATGGGGCATAATTTGTATGTCATGCTGCTGGGCAGCGTGAACCACCGGTGATGTGTGACTGCCGCATGTGTGACTGCCACTTCCACCATCAGTGGTGCAAACTGCTGACGGGACAGTCAGGGATGCACCACCGGTTCAAGCCGTCGGGAGAGTGTAAACAATAATGATGATAACAGTAATAATAATTATGGCCATCATTATGAGTGTTTACTAGGTAAAAGCATAAAACTGTATTTAAAAGTGACCAATAACACTAACAATTCTGTCTGTTATAACAGCTAACAGCAATTTCAAATGCTTTATATTATTAGTTTCTCACAGCAACTCTGAAAGAGGTGGAATAGATGGTTTCAGTATATCAAAGAAGACTGAGATTATTTGCTAAAAATTGTGTAGCTAGTAAACCGTAGAGCCAGACTTGAACTTAATTTACTTTATGTTTTTTTTTTTTTTTTCTTTTTTTTCCGGTACCGGGAACCGAACTCACGACCTTGCGCTTGCCAGGCAAGCGCTTTGCCACTAAGCTAAATTCCCAGCCCCTTAATTTACTTTAAATGCCTATATATAAGAATAATAATGAGCGAGTTATGTGTTCCTGGACATCAGTGGTTTTTAACCAAGGTAGTTTTGTTCCCAATGGGACATTGACAATATTTAGAGACATTTTTGGCTGTCAGGACTGAGGAGGGGAAATCTTACTGGCACTCGGGGGGAAAGAGGCCAGGAAGGCATTTAACCATTCTGTAATGCATGGGAAAGTCCTTCACAGCAAAGAATCGCTCAACCCACAATATTAGGAGCACTGAGGTTAGGAAATGGTGATCACTAATGACGCAGAACAGAGACTGAGATTTTGCTTGCAAGATTTTCCTGATAAACATCAGCTTTGGGGCTGGGGATTTAGCTCAGCGGCAAAAACGCCTGCCTGGCAAGCGGAAGGTCGTGAGTTCAGTTCCCGGTACCGGAGAAAAACCAAAAAAAAAAAAACATCAGCTTTGCTCCAGACTTCAGCTTGTCCAGCTCTTCGTTTCTCTTAGATTCAAGCTTTAAAACTCAGCAGTAACCTCCTATCAGAGTTTATAGACCAGGTCAAGTGAAGGTGAAGCCATGACGAGATCGAAGTTTGGAGTAAATGCCCCACTCAGAGGCCTTACACTTACCATCCTTTTCCTTGTTAGGTTGTTTCCCAGGGGGCGTGCACTGGGTTTCTGTTGGGAAACAAGACAAATCTGGACTTCTGATGAAACTGCAGAATCTTTGCACACGTTTGGATCAGGATGAGAGTTTCTCCCAGAGGCTTCCTCTTAATATTGAAGAGGCCAAAGACCGACTTCGCATTCTGATGCTGCGCAAACACCCGAGGTACAGGCGGTCAGGTTTAGTAGGTGTGGGAGACTTCCCTAGGGACATCCTGGGAATGTCATGCCCTTTTCCTGCTGTTCTGTACAGGGGCGAAGAAACAGCCTTTGTTTGCCTGCTGCTCTCTTTTGTGTATTAAAAAAAGTAGTAGCTGCTGCTTGCCCTAAAATTGTCACTTCTTTGCTTTTTTGCATTCTTCTCACCACATTGTCTCATATGTACCACTGTAGGCTCTCAAGATACATATGTTTTTCTTTTTTTTTTGGTACCAGGATCAAGATATATATCTTAATGTAGGTGAGTTGGCAGGTGGTCCTCATTAGAATAGTGCATACTTCCTACTTTGAATCCACTGTTTCTGATGCATTCACATAGAAAAAGAAAGAAAAGTTGGCAACTGGTGAAAGACAGGGAGGGTTTTTAATGGGACCATTCTGTTAGGTTGTCTCGGTTTTTACAGGGATACATATGACTCTTCTGTATATTTCAAGAGTTTTGTTTTTAAATAATTGATTAATTCAGTACCTATCATAATTTTGTAATTATCAACTCAAGTTTTCATTAGCTAAAGGGAGATACAGCTTTGTTGCTGCTTGTTTAAGAATATAATTATATTCACAACCTGAGAAGCAGCCAGGTAGCTTGCCTTGAGCAGCTAAGCCCACTGAGGCTTTTGGGATCATCTGGGTACCCTGCCCTGAGCAACTGGGCTCTGCGAGGCCACGGGATGGCAGCCCAAGCCCTCAGACACTGACAAGCACTTCTGGGCCTCCTGATGTGTCCTGGCCCCCAACTGGCCATCAGACCCTGGAAGGCACCCTGCCTCTTCTCTCATTCATTTAGAGCCTTGCTCACCCTGGTGCCTGTGCAGCCCTTGGAAACTGACAGGTACTCATCTCTGCTGCTGTTGGCTGTGCTTTGCCTGAATGGGCCTGTCAGAGTGGCTCCAGCCCTACGTGACTGGAAACTCATACTTGGAGCTGAGCATGCCAGCCCCAGGCCTGCTGGGGAATCTGCCGCACTTAAGAGCACTGCCTCCCAGCTGGTGGAGCAGCGTAGGTCCCTGAGATACACACAGGCATTGCTGATACTGACTACAGCTGAAGAAGTCACGTAGGTGCTGTACAGTTGTGCCCACATGGAGCCAAAGTCAGCGTGGCCTGCCCAACCAACACTACAGGATACACTGCGAGGGAAACTCTTTTATTACTAAAGCCACTAGAGGCAACTGATCCATCAGATGTACAGACATCAACATAGGGACGCAAGAAGCATGAAAAAGCAAGGTAACCATATTATTTTCTCTGAGACCAGGAACAAGACAAGGACGTCTGCTTCACCATTCTGATGCAGTATCCGACCGGAAGTCTTAGAGCAGTGATGGCAAACCTTTTAGAAACTGAGTGCCAAGCTACAACCCAGAACCCACCTTTCACAAAGTGCCACACTGCAATTTGACCTGAATGCTGAGGTTTTAGTTTAGAAAAAAATGACTACATTAACATCTTTTGTCTTAAAAGAAAAACACAATAACACACATGCCCTAGGTTTGCCCCCACTGTCTAAGAGCAGTAAGGCAAGAGAAGGAAATAAAGGTCATCCAATTAGGAAGGGAAGGAGTCACATTCTCCCTGTTCACAAACATGATCTGTGACAGTTCATATGATCACATTTAACCAAACTCCTTCTAACAACTCCTTCTTTAATTGCTCAGTACCTTTTCTTCAGTCCTCCTTCCTTTGGGAAAAGAAAGAGACTTCTATTTAGGAAAATATTACAGCCATTATCAGATACAGGAGGCTGTAGTTCTAAAGCCAGTCTTTTCTTTCTTAGTATCATTTGGTTTATGCATTTTCATTTTTCCAACTTGTGTACATACCTAGTGTGCTATTCAGATAAAAATGCCTGTGTATAATTATGCTTCAGGTTTTAGTTATATTTTTTCTGTCATTTGTACTGGTGAGTTTTAAAAAGTTTTTGGAAAGATGTATGAGGAATTGACATAAAAGTTCTTTGTTGTTTTGAATAAATAAATTGATTTCATATGTAGAAAAAACTACTAGTATTCCAAATGAAAAGTAATATTTTTGCTAGTATATGTTTTTAGGTTGGAACGTATGAAATTGCTAGTGTTACAGGTAAAACATGGCCACATAGCATCATTGTTTGTTTGTTTACTTATTTATTCGGTACCAGGAATCGAACTCAGGACCTTGGGCTTACCAGGCAGATGCTGTGCCACTAAGCTATATCCCTGGACCCTTGTGTCATTGTTAGTATAATTATTCTGAGCCTGGGATATTCTAAGCCTGCCATAAAACTGCACTCTGGAGGTTGAAGCAGGAGGATCAGTATGAGTTGAAGGCAAGCCTGAACTACATAGTGAGACCCTGTCTCAAAACCAAACCAAATGAAACAAAAAACATATAGTTTATTCTAATGCTCATGAGCACAGTTCTAGTTTGGTTTCGGTGCTTGAAGACTGAATTGGGTCATTCTCCTCTGTGGGTAGTTCTCTTTAGGCACTCAGTGAGTGATGTCTGGATGAATGAATTTCTGACATTTGTATGGTATATTCTCTTCTCTTTTTGTAGGATAGTTAATTTTAATATGTTCTGATTCGGGGTGTGAAGAAGGAATGTAGTTTTTTTTTTCTTGAATCAACCCCTGGAAAGGGAGTATAGCAAGGAATGGAAGAAGAATCACAAGCTAGGAATTTATTCTTTCATTCGGTAGATTTTAAAAAGTACTGGTAGGATTATTTTTAAAGGAAACTGAAAATAAGCGTCAGTAGTGATTCACTGTGCTTATTTTTAAAGGTCTCTGTTGATTTTGGATGATATTTGGGACCCTTGGGTGTTAAAAGCTTTTGACAATCAGTGTCAGATTCTTCTTACAACCAGAGATAAGAGTGTTACGGATTCAGTGATGGGTAAGGATGATTAATTTATATTTTAGTACCTTTACCTGGAAGGGTATTAAAGGTATTCATTATTCAGTTTAAGGGTATCTGAATATGTGGCATACCGGATTACTTCCTATGGCTTGTGATTTTGTTGCAGGTCCTAAATACGTAGTGCCTGTGGAGAGCGGCCTTGGAAAAGAAAAAGGACTTGAAATTTTATCCCTTTTTGTTAATAGGAAGAAAGCGGATTTGCCAGAAGAAGCTCACAGTATTATAAAAGAATGCAAAGGTACAGTTGCTTATGTGTGAAGGAGGCCAGCCTGGATACCTTAGGAAGACCGTTTCTAAATTAAAAAATTAAAGAGGAAGGGCTGGGAATGTGGCTCAGTGTGCAGGCCCTGAGTACGATCCCCAGAACCTCCCAGGCCCCAAATAAAAATCTCCATGTGCCCAGCCATTCAGACTCTTCCTGAACTCTGACCTTTTGGGTTTCTAATGGAGGTAACGTTGCATAGGCTGGGTGACACATGGATCACCATGCAAGAGGTGATTGGACAGAGTGCGGTGAGGCTGCTGAAAGGGGTGGACAGACCCAGCCCCTGTGCCCTCACATGCTTGGGGCCTTTCCACAGCATTCCTTCCTTCTGGGTATGGGGCGGGACACTTTCTGAAATAGGGTTCGCATGACTTACCCTCCAACAGAGTAAGTCGGAGCGTTTCTTCATGGCCAGCATGAAGGTGAAGGGTGGTGGTGATAAGTACAGAGTTTCTGTGACTCACCTTGGGGAAGAGAAGTTTATTTCTGTGGTCCCAATTGAGGAGGAAGGTATGAGCCCGGAACGGAAAGAAAGTATCGGGTCATAATATCACAGGTGTTCATTGGATGCTCCCATGTAAGAAGTTATTCTTGACTCTCTCTTTTGTAACATAAGTATTTTTAATTTTTCTTTTTTAAAAATTAAAAAATTTTAAATTTAATTTTCTATACCCTACTGATGCTGTTAGCCTTTTGTTACATTTTTACAAATATTGACTCACAGTTTTTCTGTTTACTTTTAATTTCATATGTAGCTTTTTTTTTAAATGATATACTAGGGAGCATTTCCCCAACCCTTTGTACTAGTTTTAGTCTGAGACAAGGTTTTGCTAAGTTGCAGGGGCTGTCCTCACACCTGTGAGCCTTGTGCTCCAGCCTTCCGCCTAGCTGAAATCTCTGGTGTGTACCACCGTGATGGGCTTCACTTGCAGTATTTCTTCATACACCAAAATTTAAAATTTTATATAATCAAATCAAAATTTATATTATATTTTACATAGTTTTGATTCTTACCCTTTTTATATATCTTGTTTTTCCATATTTGTCAAATATCTTTTGAAAAAAATTTACCAGTGGCGTAGTATTGTGACATACCGTAATTTATTCAACCAGTTTTCTAATATTGAACATTGTTTATAATTTTTCACTGTTAAAAATAATCATGTGATGAATAGCCTTAAGTGGAATCTTCCATAGTTTTAATAATTTTATTAAAATAAATACATAGAAGTAGACCCAGCAGTTAGAAATAATTTAAGATTTTGGGTAATATGCAGTGGAAATTGTTTTCTAAAACTAAGTTGGTTGGGTGTGCTGGGTGCATACCTTGTAATCTCAGCACTTACTCAGGAAAGGGAGGCAAGAGAAGCATTGCATGTTTGAGGCCAGTCTGGGCTACGTAGTGAGTTCGAGACCAGCCTGAACTATGAAGCAAGACCTTGTCTCAAAAAAAACCAAAAAACTATATTACTTGATTTCTTAACGTAGTAGAGACTTTTACGATAAGGTAGTATTAACACAGTTACTTTTTCTTTTAGGTTCTCCTCTTGTAGTATCTTTAATTGGTGCACTTTTACGTGATTTTCCCAACCGCTGGGAGTACTACCTCAGGCAACTTCAGAACAAGCAGTTTAAGAGAATTAGGAAGTCTTCATCTTATGATTATGAGGCTCTAGATGAAGCCATGTCTATAAGCGTTGAAATGCTTAGAGAAGACATCAAAGACTATTACACGGATCTCTCCATCCTGCAGAAGGATGTTAAGGTGCCTACACAGGTAATGAATGGGCAGCAGTCCTCAGCGTTGGTGTTTGTGCTGCGTGACCTTTGACACAGTGCTGAGGACACTGTTGGGGAGAACCATGGAAGGATAAAGTATGGGCCCACGGTATCGGATGGAGAGTAGAGGGTACACAAGGGCCTCTGCAGTTGGTCTCCCCAACTCATGAGCTCAAGGTTCTAAGGAAATTGGAAAAGCATCCAGTTTTTCTGTCTTTTCTAGAGTGAGAAATAGTTGGGCTTCTTGTAAAATGGAGACATTCTTATTTGGGGCTGTGTGTGTGTGAGAGAGAGAGAGGGAGGAAGGGAGAGAGAGAGATGGAGGGAGGGAGGGAGGGAGGAGGGAGAGAGAGAGAGAGAGAGAGAGGGAGAGAGAATGCCCTCACTACAGTTCTGTTTATTGTAATTATGTGGCACTTTAAATGCTTAAAATGATTCCTAGGTGTTATGTATTCTCTGGGACATGGAAACTGAAGAGGTTGAAGACATACTGCAAGAGTTTGTTAATAAGTCTCTATTATTTTGTGATCGGAACGGAAAGTCATTTTGTTATTATTTACATGATCTTCAAGTAGATTTTCTGACAGAGAAGAATCGCAGCCAGCTTCAGGTACTTGCATCTCTGTAATTCAAAAAAAGTTTTATAGTTTTAGACTTTTAAAGTGACAAAACAGTGTAGTTTTTATGCATAAACATGTCATCTAGCCCCCCTAAAATTAGCATTTTATAGCAGGGTATAATGAAGCAGCCCACTGTTTACCAGAAGTACTCTACTGATAACTCAATTTTTCCAGCTTGCCCACATTCCTTAAATGGTCCACATTCAGCTCAGGATCTCGGGTTGCGTATCTTCAACCCCTTTCTCCAGTTGCCATTTGCCTTAGTTTTTTCAAATTTGTGAAAATTCCTAATTTTTTATCTTTCATGATGTTGTTACTATTGAACAATATTGGCTAGTTTTGTTTGTTTGTTTGTTTGTTTGTTTGTTTTGGTACCGGGAATCGAACTCACACTTGCCAGGCAGGTGCTCTGCCACTGAGCTGTATCCCCAGCCCTCGGGCAGTTTTTTTGTACAGTGTCCCCTGATTTGATTTTGTCTGATGTTTTTTCCTGACTAGATTCAGGTTATGTGTATTTGGCGAGAATTATTACAGAAATGATCCCATATCTTGAGTGTGTCAAGTCAGGGAGTACTTGGTATTGATGTGCCTGTGGATAGTGGAAGTGTTGCTTATTTCATTAAATTGGAATCTACCTTTTGTCCACTGTTAATGTACTATTTTTTTTCCTGCTGTGATCATTAAGTATCTTGTGGGGAGGTTACATTTTTAGTAGCTTTGGAAGTTGTTACTATGATGCTCATGTTACAGAATTGTTTCTGTCCTCTCAAATGGGTGATTTGGGTTTTAGGATCTACATAAGAAGATGATCACTCAGTTCCAGAGATATCACCAGCCTCATACCCTGTCCCCAGATCAGGAGGATTGTATGTATTGGTACAACTTTCTGGCCTATCACATGGCCAGTGCTAATATGCACAAAGTAAGTTGGCACATTTAAAGTATTCTTTTATCTCCTTTTTCCATATATGTTACAAATATTTTTTCTTCATTTTATCTACTAAATATTGTTTATGTTGCTTTTGAATGTATTGAAGGTGCAGCCTTTATGTAGTTAAATTGTACCCGCTTTTTTGTATTTTGCCTTGGTGTTGTGTTTGTAAACATGATTTGTCCTATGATCAGACATTTCTTTTGTTTGTAAAAATAGGGTTGTAGCTTATGTTTTTTTAACCTGTAGTGATTTAAAAAGATCTCTTAGTAATTGTAGTAACTCAACCATGTAAAAATTGATTTTCTTTTTACTAGTAGCTTTGTTTTCTGAGGAACATGGATTTGTTTTTAAGCTTGAAAAGGAAATGGAGGATGGGAACATCTATTCATTGAATTATTACTGGGTCCTTGTTACTGACTGACATTGTTCTTCATTGTGAGAATACAGCACACCACAAAGTCTCTGCTCTCATCAAGCTTATATTCTTGGGGAAGACAGATAGTGTACAAATTTATGGTATGTCATTGGGTTGTTATGTGCTCAGGACAAAGCATGGAAAAAAAGAAAGTGATAATATAGGGGGGAGTCATCACAAGTTCCTAATAGATTTCATGTGCCTTGTGATGGGGAAGAAGCAGAGTGGAAGAGTGGAGCTGCCATGAAGTGAAACGGGCAAGTCTGGGAGAACAGGTCCCCCTCCTCGCCTTGCTGGGAAGGGGAAGGTGAGGGCTCGTCTTGAGTGTATTAAGTCTGATGTACTTACCAAGACATTTCATTGGACGTATTGAGTAGTTATATAAATATGTAATTCATATTCATGGACAAAAAATAGAAATTGGGAATCAGTACATAGATGACATTTGATGTCATGACAATTTACTGCTCAAAATCTTAAACATTTTTGAGAACTACATATTTTCAGTAATTTTTCTATGCTTAAAAATGTTCTATCTTGGTGTGTTGTGGTAGCCTGTTTTTCACCTAACAAAATGTATTTATATTTAGTAATCTACCTCCACATGACAGCATTTCAGTAAATGTCTATGAATCAAACTCTCATCGTTGAACGTTTAGGTTACTTTTAGTTTTAGGGCATTATGACATTCTAGTGCGCATTCTTGTTCATCGTCATACCTACCTTGTTTCCTTGGAAGATTCTTAGAAGTGGAACCACTGGGTCAATGCAGGTTTTTGAAGCTTTTGCAATATATGATAAGTTTGGCAGGATTCAATTTCTTTGTAGACCTTTTTTTAATTTTAAAGATAATGATTATAATTGGAAAAATGTAGAAAAAGTCTACAAAGAAGAAAGTGAAGATCACATCCATTGCTAATGATTTTATTTATAGTTTTCTATGTCATTTTGCTTGCTTAAACTTTTTCTTTAAAACCAAGTGATATCATTACAGAAATAGCATCTTACTTTAAAAATTTTTTTTATTAGTACATATTTGCTATACATAATGAACACACTCCTCCTGGGGAATTTGTACCTGACATGAGATATAGCAATTTCTCCTTTTTTCTATTCTGCTCCCCTCCCTTCAACCCTCTTTCCCCTCCCCACTTACAAAAGGTCTGTTTCCATGTTTTTCCTTCAATTCTTTTTTAAAAATCTCTTTTCCTTTCCTCTCCCCTGTTCCCCTTCCTGTTTGAACATATTCTTCCTACTTCCCAAAGTCTTTCCTCCATTTGACTCCTTATGTACTTTTTGGGTTTCTCATATAAGAGAAATCATGTAATATTTAAACTTGTGTGTCTTGATTGATTTCACTTAAAATTATGGCCTTAAGGTGCATCCAAGAAATAGTATCTTACATATGGTTCCCTCCCTCCCTCCTCTCTCTCCCTTGCCTCCTCTTCTCCCTTCCTTCCTCCTCCTCCTCCTCTTCCTCCCCTCTTCCTCCTCTTCCCCCTTGCATCCCCTCTCTCTCAGTACTGGGGATTGAACCCAGGGCCTTTGCACCAAACTACATCTCCAGCCGTTTCGATTTTTTGTTTTGAAATGAGGTCTTGCTAAGTCACGGTTGCCCAGTGTGGGCTTCAGCATGCACACACACACACACTTGCCTCACACCCCCAGAGAGCTGGGATAACAAGTGTGCCCTAGCTGCCATGTTTTCATGTGGTTTATACAGTGACATGATTTTTAAAGCAGCATGCTATTTCAGTATAGTACAGTTGGCCAGTTGGTTGATAGGCAATTTAGTTATACTCCTTTGGTTTCTGTTTTGGCATATATTTTTTTTTTTTTTTTTTTTTTTTTTTTTTTTTTT